ATTGTCAAAACTGCTTCCACCACCTTTTCAGGCGGTGCATTCCAGTCAATCCACTTTACATTATGTTCCGTGCATAGCTTTGAGACGTTTCAATGACGTGATGAGGCGTTGTATCAAATGCAAAGATTATTATTATTATTGAGCCCACTCCGCCACAGCTCACTGCATGTCATTGCTTAATTCTCCTCACCCTGCAGAATGGAACCCGTTTCTGACATTTCCAACCTTTCAAGTGCCCAGGTTAGGAGTAAGGTGCAGAGTTACTCTCTCACCTGCTTTGCCTCCAGCAATGTGCCTTCTGTTGAGTCTTGGCAGAGTACCCTCTTGCTGTGCCAATGTGACTTTCATACCAATCATGCTTACAACCAATTATCCCAACTCATAGCCAGGTCCATTCCCAGTAAGAACTGCATCAAAACAACACAAACCCATTTTTACAAAGGATCATTGCACCTAGCAGAGAATTGATGCTTTAATAATAATAATAATAATAAACCTTGCATTTGATACAGCGCCTTATCACGTCTTTGAGACGTCTCAAAGTGCTTCGCAGGATATACTGTAAAGTGAATTGACTGTATCAAAACCTTTCTCTTTGACCGAGCCTTCAGCTCCCCTCTCGACTCTCTTCCCCCTCCTCGCTCCCTCCCTTCCCTCCCCTCACCCTGACCATTTCCCCCCTCCTCGCTCCCTCCCTTCCCTCCCCTCACCCTGACCATTTCCCCCCTCCTCGCTCCCTCCCTTCCCTCCCCTCACCCTGACCATTTCCCCCCTGCTCGGGTCATGACCCAACTGTGCAGCGTCTTGGGACGTCCTCCTGACGTGAAAGGCGCTTTATAAATGGAATCTTGTTGTTGTTGTTGTATGGATTGGGACTGGATTTGACCCTGGGTTATAGGATTGAAAGGACAATAATTGCTAATGTTTTATGGTCTTCCAAAAGAGTTCTGTTCATTACAATCCATTTCCTCTAAATTCACTCTTTCTGTACTGAAATTAAGATTTATTCACTGATTTTCTTCCCATCAATTCAGATTCTCCTATGCTGTTTGTCTTTCCCAACTTCACATTCATGATGTTGTATCTACTTGCCCACCTTATATCTACTTATCAGCCAATCCTATCCACTTTGCTGTTGATTTCCACTCTATATTCAATGTCCTTTCTGACTGCACATGTTCTACCCTCACATCCCAATAAATCAAACCTTAAATTAATTTTAGTGGCTGAATCACTAAGTCTTCACACCCATTCCTCTGGGCAATGGAAATTTTCTCTCGAATTTCTATTTCTTCATGTCTCACCACATTAACAAACCACCACAACCTCTAACCCACTTCTTTTCCCCTCAACAACTTGCTGTAACACCCAGGTCTGTCCAAGGTTTACGGTAGTGCTTTATAGTCCTGCTCCTGTGTCCGACATAGTGCTCTGAGCCCTACCCACATTCCTGGACAGCACACATAGAAAGGCATATTGTCCAGCAGCTCCACTCTCTATTGTACCTTTTTTGTCTTCCTCTGTAGTCATTGAATCTTCACTCCGTTGAAGTCCAAACCTGAAGCTGAAACTGAGATTCGGTACAGATTAAGCAATGAGCTGGAAATAATAATAATAATAATACAATAATAATCCTTGTGTTTGATATAGGAGTCCTGTAGCTCAGTGGTTAGAGCACTCGCTTTGCAAGCGAGAGACCTGAGTTCAATTCCAGGCAGGGCGAAACCTTGGGCAAGTTTCCTTACTCCACACGCCTAATAATAATCCCTCCAAAACCAAAAACAATAATAAAATTGGCATTTTCAATCTACGACTGTTTGTGGGACATTGCTGTGCGCAATTGGCTGCCGCGTTCGCCCACAAATTTACAGTCAATTCACTTTACAGTGTGTTCTGTGAAGCGCTTTGGGACGTCCTTCCGACGTGAAAAGCGCTATATCAAATGCAAGGATTATTATTATTATTATTATTATAGGACATTTTCACGTCTTCTAGACGTCTCAAAGCGCTTCACAGAATATACTGTAAAGTTAATTGACTGTGTATTTGCAGACTGAGTGACCAAATTATTATTTATTTATTTTTAAAGGGCATTGCGTGGATAAGGACAGGTTGGGCTCAGCTTGACTCCCTAGGGGTGCGTTGTGCAGGTTCCTTTGTCATAAAGGAAGGGCAGAGCAGTACAGGGTTTAGTTAATTGGAACATTGCTTTGAAATTCTCTATATGTGTTCCTGATCTTAGCCTTACCTTAGTGAAGACTGGCAGCAAACCTGTGCCCAGGCGACTGAGGAAGGGAGGAATCAATGGGCTGGTTAGAGAGGAGACAGACACCTAGGAATAGGGCAAGAGCCTCAATCTTGGACAGAGAAGGTTCAGGATATGCAGAGGCGAGATAAAGGAAATGTGCATCATCAGAACAATTTTCGAATCTGCAATACAGTAACTTCCTGATAACTCGCCACTCCCAGGGGCTCAGTGACAAGTTATCAGGAGTGGCGAGTTAGGCATATGTAAATAATATTAATCTTTGCATTTGATTTAGCGCCTTATCACATCTTCGAGATGTCTCAAAGCTCTTCACAGAAAATACTGTAAAATGTGTATTCTGTGGGCAAAAGTATAAATACATAAATAAATGCAACCGGGATATTGACAACGTGATGACTTAAGTGGCAGTGACAAGTTAAGCCAGAGTCGAGTTATCAGGAATTTACTGTATCATCTTTTGCTCTGAGGCAGAATTGGTGATGTGGATGGTGTTTACTTGTGTAAGATTTCACTGTAGACCGTGGAAGCAACACCCAGCTATTTTCTCAGCTTTGATGTGATCGTTCGTAACTTATTTAAATCCCCTTTTGTGATCTTTACGTTCAGACATTTCAAATGGGAGGAATAGCAGCATTGATAATGTGCGTGGCTTACCTCCTGTCTGGGCAGAATTAGAAAATCACGGGATTTTGAGCCGCTGCTGGAACTAATGCTTGAAATGACAGCAGTAAATTCTCTGGGATCTTTATTCAGGATTCTGCCTGTGGCCACGTCTCTCAGTTTGTTTGGATTCTTTTGTTGCTGAAGTCTTGGCTGGAGCTGACGAGGCTAATGTCTTTATCCATTTTGGAGACCACGTCCGCTTGTGTTAATGTCATTCGGTCCATCAAGCCTGTGCTTGGGATTGGGATTCTCATCCTAAGTGGAGTCATGTAGCGCAGGTTAGAGCACTCACCTCGCAAACGAGAGGACCCGGGTTCGAATCCCGGGCAGGACAAAACCTTAGGCAAGTTTCCTTACTCCACACACATGCCTCTGTTTACATACCAGTAATTTAATATAGTGCTGAAATGTCTCAAACGGATTTTTGCCCACAAAGCATTGTCGATTCACTTTACTGTATATTCTGTGAAGCGCTTTGAGATGTCTCGAAGAGGTGATCAGGCGCTGTATCAAATGCAAGGATTATTATTATTAGTAGTAGTAGTAATTAGTATGATCTTACCTACAATAGCCACTTGTGGAAAAGCTAAATATATCAGATTCCAATAACTAATAAAGCCAACAACTAGTGACATAGCACCTGAGGTGAGCTTTAACCAGACTTTCACTTTGCCTCTACAACGGCATCTAAACTTGTACAGATGCAGTTGGTGAGTGGCTGATGGTAAATGATGAACTAAGGCTCGTGTCCACTGTGTGGCTGAGGACAGGCTTGGCTGGGCTACACAGCTCCCATGGTTGAATACCCTGCCAATGCTTGCTGTCTGAACTCACGCAGGAAGGTCGGAGTCTGTGTTAAGTTGGCTGATCACAGTTAGGGGAGAGAGCTGCTTCAGTGGGCAACAGCTCCTCGTTCAGTTCCTACTCCTATGATAATAATAATCATGTTGATTTAATAATATCAATAATCCTTGCATTTGATATAGTGCCTTATCACATCGTTGAGACGTCTCAAAGCGCTTTCACAGAATATTCTGAAATATAGTGACTGTATATTTTGTGGGCGTAACGGCAGTGCCCCACAAAAGCTCATGACTTGAGTGACAACATTATTATTATTTTTGAAGGGATTATTACCCCAGGAAAGCCATCTGCCAATTGATTAATAATTGCTGGATTAAGGAAACTTGCTCAATGTTTCGCTCTGCCTGGGATTTGAACCCAGGTGCTCTCACTTGCGCTAACCACTATGCTACAGGAATTAGCATAACCAGACTTTGACTAGTTTTGACCAGTGACTAAGTTGTCTTTCACTCAGAATGTTTTCATTAGCGGTGGATACAGGGTTTGGAATCTATTGGTGTAGGTACGTATGCAGCTGATCAGTAGAATTATTCAGAAGGTTAATGGAAAAGCAGCTGAACAGTCAAAACACTAAGGGATCTGGGGAGAGAGCTGGGAAGTGGAATTACTAAAAAAAAAGGTGATATAGATAAAACAGATAGCAATGTCATAAATATAATGGGCCGAATGGCCTACTGGGTGAAAATGCTTGTTTTTTCCATGCCTTAAACATGACTAGGAGATTGTGTGTCTTTCTCGCTGCCATTTGATGTCCTTTTGTTCGTGTACAGTGAGACTCACATCAATGCTGTCTTGGTGAGCTACATAATGTCCCCATGTGTTAGACTGAGTGTTTTCTAACTGGTCTGTGTTATATATCGGCTCTTGAGGCATGCAAGATTCACTGTGCTAACTGATTAATATCATGGCAATAAAATCGTGAATAAATGTATTATCCACCAGCCATGTTTCAGCAGGGACATTAAAGCAAAAGTAAATGATGCTCCATGTGTGAAATACCCTTCCACTGCGACTACTTTCACCGTGAGTTTTAATGCAGCCGTAAAATAGTGCAATTTAATCTGATGCCTCTCTGCGGGTTAAGATATGAGCCATTGCTTAAGTAAATCAATGTACACTGTAGTTTACTCAGCAGTAATGTGCCATGTTCTTGAACTGTCCCATACCATTTCGGTCTCGTCGTTTGACTTAACGTTGACTTCAGTGGCGACCTAGAGGTGACGATCGACTTTCTGACCGAGGTGGACAAACTGGTGCAACTGATCGAGTGTCCAATATTCACATGTAAGTGTGTGTGTGTACATGTGTGTGTGTGTACGTGTGTATGTGTGTGTGCATGCGTGTGTGAAATCCTAGATTGATTGTAAAGGCAATATAGTTTGTGAGTCACAAGTCCTACTCCCCCACAACACACAAAGCACACTTCTGCCTCATTTACGTTGAGAGCCATGCTCAGCAATCCATTTGTGTGGGTGGCATGGAGTGACCCTGTTTACTGTGTATGCTTGGATTATTTATTTGAGAGCGAGTACTTCTGCAGGTGCTGTGTATATGCCCCTCTCATGTAGGTATGGAACAAGCTTTCAATTAAATAAAGTCTCCTTCCTTCCTCCCCACGTTGGGTTTCTGAGGGAAAACAGATCAGAGAACAGATGCAGGACGTGGTGGACAGTTTAAGGCCATGGGCTCCGTTCCGGGTAATGTTTCTGAATTGGCATTAGGCCCATCCTTGAGGTGTGTTGCTTGTATCTCAGGCAGTTTGGAGCAACAGGCAACAGATGGATGACTGCTCAATGCAAGTGCTTCGTTCCTTAGGCAGCGCTTCGATTCCCACCCACAGATCCAGAATTTCAGGCTTATTACAGGGTTGCACTGCAATGGATATTAGCTTCAGTCCTGCAATGTGCTGGGCTCTCACTCATGACTGATGCCTCTGGCGAGTGAAGAGAATGCAAAGAGTTCCTTGGGGTTCATCTAGCGTTGTCGAATTCAAAGGATTCAAATGTAAAATCAGGATAATTTTGTTGCCTTTATTCCGACTTCAACCAAATGATACCTGTGGGTCTTCCATATGTTTCGCCCACAAAACACACAGTCACTACACTTTACAGTATATCCTGTGAAGCGCTTTGAGATGTCTCGAAGACATGATAAGGCGCTGTATCAAATGCAAGGATTATTATTATGATGCGTTGCCTATCTCAGTCTGGATATGTGGTTCGCTTTGGTGTGGCAGCCTAGCTAGTCGAGAATGGAGGGGCAATGCCTTGCTCGGCTTCTTCTCTCCCACTCTCCTTTGCACTTGGTCCCAGGTTCCACCTCCGGTCTGTGGCACATCAGGTCTCAAGCTGAGTGGCAGTCACATCTACAACAACAACAACTTGCATTTATATAGCGCCCTTCACACGGGGCAGTTTGACAGAGGCGGAGCCTGACGCTGAGCTGGGGGGGCAGGGAAGAGGTGACAGCAAGCACTGGCAAAGAAGAAAGTCTTCACTCATAATCTAAAAGAGGGGAAGGAGCGAGCAAGGCGGAGGGATTGAGGGAAAAAGTTCCAGAGCTTTGGGGTGTAGTGGCTGATCTCCAACCGTTGGGTTTGGCTTGGTGTTTTCATCTCTATCCAGAGACCCCTTAGGAAAAGCATATGTGTGGGTGGGTGGGGATGGGTCTTTATGTGTGTGTGTGTATGTTAATAGTGTGTGTCAGTGACTGTGTGTGAATATCTACATTGGGTAATAATAATAATAGTCCGTGCATTTGATATAGCGCCTTCTCCCATCTTCTAGACGTCTCGAAGCGCTTCACAGAATATATTGTAAAGTGAATTGACTGTATATTTTGTGGACCTAATAAGGCACTCGAAAATAATAATAAGTTCTTTCTGTGTAGGCGTCACTGAATGCTTGGGGGCGCTGGTGGTCCAGGCGGCTGGTTTGATATGGCTTTGTCTCTTTGCTCCCCTCCCCCACACCCCCACCCCCGCCTCGCAGACCTGCGATTGCAGCTCCTGGACGTGGAGAACAACCCCTACCTGATCAAGGCACTGTATGGGGTGCTCATGCTGCTGCCTCAGAGCAAAGCTTTCCAGCTCCTCTCCCAGCGGCTGCAGTGTGTGCCTAACCCTGAGCTCATGAGGACCACGTGAGTAATCTCAGCCCTAGCCTTCGCTCTCTTCCTGGAGAGAGTCTCACCAACAAATAGATAAGATTCCTGCTAGAAAATATTATCTGGGGACACAGTATATAGTTTCGGGCATGACATGTCAAGCGACTGCCAGGATGGTGGGAGGCAAAATAGATGGACCTTGGTCTTTTTTCACCAGAAAATTCTTATGTTCTTATGTCTAACAGAAGTGGATATGGCGGGGTGGGGGGTTTGTGATGTGGTCGTGCAGCCCAGATTGCCTTGGGCGCTGTGCAGCCACCTGATATGCCAACCTCCTCACACTGACAACACAAGCAGGAACAAACCAATAGAGATTTACAGCACAGACAATGACAATTCGTCCATTGCACCTTTGTGGGCTCTGAAAGAGCTGTCCAGCTCACCCCACTTTCCTACCTCTCCCCCGTCAGCCCCACCCCTCCCCCAACCCCTCCTTGGATCGCTGGCCATCTCTTATGCCCACCCTCCTGTGTTTAATGCATTCTCCTTTCCCTCTCCAGGTGCCCCTCACTCTGTTTGTCGATTCCCCAGCCTGAGGTCTGGGCAAGGCCACACAGCCCTCTGCTAACACTCTTCTTGAGTTTGGTTGCAGGAGGTGCAAAAGACGATGGGTGATTTAATTTTTAATCCTCCCCTCCTCTCACCACCCACCCCCCATTTCCCTGTGGGAATCACATCGCCCTTTTGCTCTGCATGTTCTAATGGCACAGATCGTATCACCCACTCTGATCAGGGAATGGTGGTACTTGCTCATTCCAGCACCTGTAAACCCCACACTGGGATCCTAACCCCCCACACTGCTGCCTTTTCACATAGCAGCTCAATCGCACATTACAGTCAATCCCACTTCAATGTTCCATGTAGTCCAGACTTGCTTTTCAGAGCTTTGATTGAAAAAAACAGAGTTTTGATAAAGTAGACAGCGAGAAACTGTTTCCACTGGCGGGTGGGTCAGTAACCAGGGGACATAGATTTAAGATAATTGACAAAAGAACCACAGAGACTTGTTACGGTCTGGGATGAATTGTCTGAACAAGTCGATGGAAACAGATTCAACAACAGCTTTCAAAAGGGAATTGGATAGGTATTTAAAGAGGAAAAAATTTGAAGGATATTGGGAAAGAACGGGGAGTGGGACTGATTGGGCAGCTCTTCCAAAGAGCCGGTACAGGCAGGATAGGCTGAATGGCCTCCTTCTGTGCTGTAATATTCTACGATTCTGTTGCTATCAAGGAAGGACCACAGCAGAGATTTGAGTGAACTCAGCAGAGGTGGGCTTGACCAGCACATGTGTACACAGTGAGATTTCCATCCTGCCTTGGGGAAAGATTGAGGCGGGTGTGTTCAGTTCCTGGCATAAAATCCTCTTGTGCATCATAGAGTCATAGAATCACAGAATTGTACAGCGCAAAAAGAGGCCATTCGGCCCATCGAGTCTGTTCCGGCTCTTTGAAAAGAGCAATGTAACGTCAATCCCACTCCCCAGCCCTTTCCCCATAACCCTGCAAACCCGTCCTCCTCAAATACCCGTCCACCACATTTTTAAAAGTAGTTATCGAATCGGCCTCGACCGCCCTTTCAGGCAATGCCTTCCAGATTCAAACAACTCGCTGCGTGAAGAAATTTCTTCTCACCTCCCCTCTGCTTCTTTTAGAGACTATTTGAAATCTGTGACCTCGAGTCACCGACACACCCACCAGTGGGAACAGTTTTTCCCTTTCTAACCTATCAAATCTCCTCATGATTTTGAAGACCTCTATTAGGTCTCTTCGTAACCTTCTCTGCTCCAATGAGAATAATCCTACTAACCTCTCCAGCCTTTCCTCATAATCAAGGTCCCTCATTCCTGGTACCATCCTCGTAAATCCCCTCTGCACCCTTTCCAATGCCTTAACATCCTTCCTATAGTGCGGTGCCCAGAACTGGGCGCAGTATTCTAACTGAGGCCTAACCAGTGTTTATATAGGTTAATCATCACCTCCTGACTCTTGTACTCTGTGCCCCTATTTATAAAGCCTTGTATCCCATTTGCCCTTTTTACAGCTTTATCTACCTGTCCTGCCACCTTCAAGGATTCATTTACCTGCACCCCCAGGTCTCGCTGTTCTTTTACCCCCTTAAGATTGTATTACCGTCTATATTGCCCCTCATTCTTTCTACCAAAATGCATTACTTCGCATTTCTCCACATTGACACTCATCTGCCATGTGTCGTCCATTTTACCATCTGTCTGTGTCTTCCTGCAGTCGGCTCCTATCCTTCTCACTGTTTACCCCCTCCCTAACTTTGTGTCGTCCGCAAATTTGGAAATGGTACTTGCTATACCCAAGTCCAGATCATTTATGTATATTAAGAAGAGCAGTGGTCCTAATACCGATCCCTGGGGGACACCACTGTACACTTCCCTCCAGTCAGAAAAGCAGCCGTTCACCACAACTCTCTGCTTTCTGTCTCCCAGTCAGTTCTGGCTCCGCTGCCACTGTCCCTTTTATACCATGGACTTCTATCTTTCTTACAAGTCTTTTATGTGGCATTTTGTCAAATGCCTTTTGAAAGTCCATATAAACTACATCAATCCACCGTCTCCATTACCTCATCGAAAAATTCTATTAGATTTGTTAGACAAGATTTGTCTTTAACAAATCCATGTTGGCTGTCCTTAATTATCCCATATTCTTCTAAGTGAAGATTTATTCTGTCCCGGATTATAGTCAGTTATCAGAGATGTACACTGGATTACACTGTGAACCTGATCAGAAACTGGACGACATCTGTGGTGGAAGAGCGCTACAACTGGCCTCGCTGCCTCTGAACAAGAGATGGGAATAGTAAGCCAGGGTTTCTGCTCCTGATCACTGTTCAGTGCCCCCACCACCCAATACATACACACACACACCAACCCACATACACATACACACACACTGCACACCGTGTCAGGACTTGGAAGTATTGTAAAGTATTGTAAAGTGTAATGATTGTATTTTGTGGGCGAATGCAGCAGACAATTCGCACACAGCATTGCCTCACAAACAGCCGTGAATTGAATGATCAGTTTTATTTGGGAGATTGTTGGCCAGAAGACGAAGAGAAACTCCCTTCTCTTTTGAACTGGTGCTGCAGGATCTTTAACATCCACCTGAACAGGCAGACGTGACCTTGGTTTAACGTCTCATCTGGAGGATGTCACCCCAGCAACGCAGCGCTCCCCCATCACAGCACTGGAGTGCCAGCCCAGACTGTATGAGTTCCAGGTCTCGAACAGGGGGCTTGAACCCACAACTTTCTAACTCGGAGGCAAGAGTGCTACCAACTGAGCCAGTTTACATAATGTGTGCTTATGGTCGAGGCTGACATGCAGTGCAGCTGTTGGGGAGCGCTGCATTGTTTGGGTGACATCCTTGAGATGTTAAACCGAGGTACTCTCTTCCTGCTTCAAGTTAAATATTGCATTTAAAATGACCAGGTTGTTTTTCATTGTGTCCTTTGGAGTGGATGGGGGAGGCTCAGAAGCCTACAGTAAGCTGCTGAGCGCAATTATTGATAATAGTAATAATAATGATATAATAATAATGCTTGCATTTGATATAGTGTCTTATCACCTCGTTGAACCAGCTACAGTCAGATTTTATTTAATATTTTGCTGTGTTCACCCCATAAATGTGTTTCCCTTGGGTGAAAGATAGCTTCTATTTGTGAAAGGTCTGTAAATATCCATTCTGGTATCCATGGAGATTCCTGAATTTTGTAAGGCGGTGTCGGTGCAGGAAAGGGAATAATCTGCAGGGAAATGCGAGTGAGTGAGGTCGTGGTCGCCCATTAGTGGGTTGAAGAGCACAGAGAGCTGGGAGATTACACCCAGTGTGAAACACAGGGGCAGACTGGACCCTGCAGGGGCAGGAATCCAAGCATCAAACGAGCAGCTTTCAAAGTGCAGGACTCAAGTGAACCCTCTCCCTCTGTCCCTCTGCCTCAACACCTCCTTCCCCTTTTCAGATCGCACCCGAAGACCTTCCTTTTCGTCCGTGCCTAAGGTCACCTTCCCCCGGCTTGGCATCGTGCTCCACCACTGTGAGGGGCACTATATAAATGCAAGTTGTTGTTGGAAGCTTTGCCCACTTCAGCTGCTTGAAGTGCAAGTACTGGGTCTCCTTACTGTTTTTTATAACAGCAATAATCCTTGCATTTGATATAGCTCCTTATCACGTCATTAGGACGTCTCAAACTGCTTCACAGAACATACTGTAATTGACTATTTTGTGGTGAAACGGGGCACCCAATTGAGCACAGCAGTGTCCCACAAACAGTCATGAGTGACCAAAGTAATATATTTTTTAAAGGGCTTATTATCCCCGAAAGGTGATCCGCCTGTTGACTAACAACCGGGTACCTACTTACTGCTAGGTAAACAAGCGTGTGCAGCAAAGAAACCTAAAGTTTTATCCTGCCCAGGAATTGATCCGAGTCCTCTCGCTTGCGAGGCGAGTGCTCCAACCAATACACTACAGGATTCCTAGTATTGGGAATCCCATACTTTTGGTTGACACCTAAGTATTTCATTTCTAAGGCACGGATTAATGTTAACCAAATTGCCATCTTAAATAAAGTTACACTAGTGCACAGACTGAATATTTTCCCCTGCTTACGTGGATTTGACAAGATTTGTGTAGTTAGTAGCTGTACTGTTTGAAATCACACGGGTTCCAAAGACACTCTGATTTTTTCCGATCCACACCAAAAAAAGATCATTAACTTTACCATTCCTCGGCAATCCTGTCTATTTGCATCCCATGAAAAACTACTGACATTAAAATGTGTCATTTTGTTGATGACGAAGGGCCGCTTTGGTGGCTTGCCTGCAGTGGGCTCCGTCCGCTTTTGCTGCTGGGAGCCTGAATTTCGGCCCCCTGGTGAGGGGCATCCAGTGACACAGACACCTGGCACCGTGAGATGGAAAATGTCAGTGCTGTTTCCATAGC